ACACACTCAATCACTCACAGACACAAACACACACACACAGACAGACACACAAACACACACAAAAACACACACACACACATTAAAAAGACGGTACATCAGAAGATATCTGGGAAAAATTGATATATTTTAGAGAATATAATGGATAAACTTTACAGATAATGTAATAATAATGTAATGTAAAACGATTAAATCATCTACAAAAGCTCTTATTTGCTGAGAATAATCAATGTGTGTGCATTAAAAGGCAAAATACAATTAAAATGAACTTGACTTTTTTTGTTAAAATGACCATTTTGTTGAATTACCATTGTGTATGAAATGTGCTATATAAATAAACTTGCTTGCCTTAAACTATTACTTTAAAGCAAGACATTACAGGTGAATAGGGAAAAAAAAAAATCGAATTTATGCATATTTTCATTAGACAATATCTAATTAAATATGCATGAATTTACATACATTAAATTATAAGACTAAATCAGAAAATACACACACAAAAAGCATAAATACAAAAGAGTAAAAAAAAAAAATAGCATAAATAAACAGTTCAGATGCAAAAAATGCAGTCTGAAATTTTCTTCTAAAATTAGCATTTTTATCAGGCTCCTATATTTATGTTCAACTGTTTCACTTTAATTGCATAGAAAAGGACCTATACATTGCCATTAGAGTTAAATTACTGAACCTAAATATAGCAGCCTGATAAAAATGCTCATTTTAGACGAAAATTTCAGCTGGCACTTAAGAGGCTTTTGCATCTGAACTCTTCAAACATAGAGTAAATTGTAAATATTAGAGTTGTTACTAGCCGGGTTTCCATCTAAAGTTACGAATTTAAATTGTGCGCAAAATTGGAATATCGCATAAAACATTTGCGAATAAGCACCGTTTCCATCCAACGAGTCAAAGACAACAAAATTGTCACTTCCTGATAAACTGGCACTAAATATCACTAAGAAAAGTAGAAGAAGCCACTGAATATAATAATTTTTATATATAATAAATAACTTTCACCTCAGAGCGAGCAGACGGAACAATAATTAAATAATAATTAAAAAATTTTAATAATGAATTACAGCTAAATAGAAATCTAATGATCTAATTAAATATCCACTAATGTGCATACATTTCAAGAAGATTGTGGACATTGGATAAAGCTAGATTTCAAACTCTTGTTTGATTTTGTCGTCATATTAGAGTTAAAGGTTTTCCCCAGAGGGGATTTTAAATTTCTCTTTTTAATCACTTCATAAATCACAAAATATACTGTCAACAAACAGAAAAAAAAACATAGGAATAAAATGTTATGCATTTATCAAACGAATGCTATATGAACAAACCCCTCAGTAAAAACCTTCAGAATATAGATAGGAATAAAACAGTAAGTTTGGTGTATGTAAGTGGAAAATCTAACTTTTTAGGATATGTATTGCAAATGAAATCTACAGACACAAAATAGATAAAGTGCAATAAAACAAACAACTAAAAGTCTATTTTGCATGCTGCCCTTCCACTAGTCTGAAGACATGTTATGAAAACCTAAATAGCCTATAATCTAAAAAAAAACAATGCAACATCAAATATCTGAGACTAGCGCCATCTAGTGGCCAAAAACACTACAAGTCAGGAACGGGAGAAAAACAGCCAGCAGATCTGATTTGGCTGAGAGACTGTATAAAGTACAGAGCGGTGAGTGAATGAACTGTAAAGCGTGAGCTTTATTTCCCACCTTCCTCCGGTGTGTCCGCGGTTCGGCTGATCTCAGGCTCCTTTAAGCACTTCATGGAGTTGTGGGAAAAGGTACCACCCCACTCCTGACTGATCTCTAAGATAGGACTATGACCATAAAACACAGAAAAGCAAAATTACGAGAGAGATATTAACTCATCGTGAATGGTCCTTTAAAGGCACTTGCAACACTAAAGTCATGGGTTTGATGCACATGGAATGCATGAAGTGATATAAATGTTTACTCTGAATGCAATGTAAGCCGATAAAAGACAAAAGCATCTGCCTATTAATGCACAAATGTAAAATAGCATCTTCTTAGCTTCATTCACTTCTGAATTTATAATACCATTTAAATTAAAATAATAATTTTATTAAAGGAAATGAAATATAAACTTGAGTGTACCATAATCCAAGTCCATTCCCATGAGTTTCTCTTGGAAATTAGTTACATAACAGACAATAAATGCAGGTGCATACTATATTGGGGTAAATATTACAAAACCTGTAAAGAACATGTTAATGTTAATATTTATGTTAATGTTACAGTTGAATGTTAATATTTCACCGCAAAGTAAATAAATAAAATAAATGCATAAAATTAAATTTTTAAAAAGGGGAAAAAAAGGAAATGAGGTCTAATTTATGTTTTTGCATTTAAAAAAGCAAGATGCAACGATTTGGAAATTTAAAAAAAATAATAAATAAATAAAAACTTTTTTTTTTTTTTACTTTAACGCCATGTCATGCGCAAGTTGGTGTTTCACAAAGAAACGTGCAGCATTTTGTCCAAGCAATAATAAAAAGGACACATTTAATTTATAATTTGTATTAAATCTCATTTTGTTTAAAAAAAAATTGTGAATTGAATCGTGAAATCAAAATCGTGAATCAAATCGTGAGTTGAGCGAATCGTTACATCCCTAACTAAAAGTAAATAAAAATACATAAGCAACTACTAAATTTCATTAATTAATTGAAGAAAATTAGTCCTGTTTTATGTTTTTGCATGTAAAAAAAGTGGAATAACATGACATTTTAATGCCAATTAAGAACATTTCCAGGCAGTTTAAGGACAGTAAATGAACATGAGTCAGACTTAAGTACCTGAGCTTTTTCTCCTCAGCGCTCGCGTTAGAGTTCGGTGCTTTAGTGGACTCTGGGGCCGTTCGGCTCAGATTCTCCGTCAGTCCCGATTCGGACGCTTTTGTCCTCTCGACTCCTGCAAACGGACTGGAGGCGAGCTGAGCGGCGCGGGCGAATTCACACGTGTCCTCTGGACTCCGGCACAGAGTCTTATTCCGGTGGCTGTTGATGATGGCTTCCTCAGAGCGAGAGATGGACGCGTCCTGCTAACAAACGAACGCATGATTACTGCCACGGACCAGAAAATCTGGGACATTCATTACAAACACTGAATGAGCTCTGATCTCACTTTGTCAGTGACGAACTCTGCTTTTGACTTCGGCCCTTTCAGACTCAAGGTGGGCAGCTTCAGAGAATTACGGTTCGCTGAAGACGATCTTAAAGTCAAACAAGAAATTAAACACAGGCAGTGTAAATTAAACTGAAACATGGACTGAAAGAAAGAAAGAAAGGTGAACGAACAGAAGACAAAAAAAAAAGAAAGAACAAACAAACAAATGAAAGAATGAGAACGAAAAGAAAGAGAGAAAGAGAAAGAGAAAAAAAAACGAGGATGAATAAAATAGAGAACAAACAAATGAAAGAAAGATAATAAAAGTAGTGAGAGAAAAGAAAATGAAAAAAGAAAGAATTAAAGGAAAGAAAAGAAATAAAAAGAGAGATCGTGAAATCAAAATCGTGAATCAAATCGTGAGTTGAGCGAATCGTTACATCCCTAACTAAAAGTAAATAAAAATACATAAGCAACTACTAAATTTCATTAATTAATTGAAGAAAATTAGTCCTGTTTTATGTTTTTGCATGTAAAAAAAGTGGAATAACATGACATTTTAATGCCAATTAAGAACATTTCCAGGCAGTTTAAGGACAGTAAATGAACATGAGTCAGACTTAAGTACCTGAGCTTTTTCTCCTCAGCGCTCGCGTTAGAGTTCGGTGCTTTAGTGGACTCTGGGGCCGTTCGGCTCAGATTCTCCGTCAGTCCCGATTCGGACGCTTTTGTCCTCTCGACTCCTGCAAACGGACTGGAGGCGAGCTGAGCGGCGCGGGCGAATTCACACGTGTCCTCTGGACTCCGGCACAGAGTCTTATTCCGGTGGCTGTTGATGATGGCTTCCTCAGAGCGAGAGATGGACGCGTCCTGCTAACAAACGAACGCATGATTACTGCCACGGACCAGAAAATCTGGGACATTCATTACAAACACTGAATGAGCTCTGATCTCACTTTGTCAGTGACGAACTCTGCTTTTGACTTCGGCCCTTTCAGACTCAAGGTGGGCAGCTAGAAAGAATTACGGTTCGCTGAAGACGATCTTAAAGTCAAACAAGAAATTAAACACAGGCAGTGTTAATTAAACTGAAACATGGACTGAGAGAGAGAAAGAAAGAAAGAAAGAAAGAAAGAAAGAAAGAAAGAAAAAGAAAGAAAGAAAAACGAGAATGAATAAAATAGAGAACAAACAAACGAAAGAAAGATAATAAAAGGAGTGAGAGAAAAGAAAATGAAAAAAAGAATTAAAGGAAAGAAAATGAATAAAAAGAGAAAGAGAATAAACGAAAGAAAGAAAAAACGAATGAAAAAAGGAAATAAAAAGAAAGAATGATGAATGAGCAAAAGAGAAAGTACAAAAAGTACTTTAAAAAGTAAAGGGAGAGTGAGAAAGAAAGAAAGAAAGAAAGAAAGAAAGAAAGAAAGAAGAATGCACAAAAGAGAAAGTACAAAAAGAGGGAGAGAAAGAAAGAAAGAAACAGAAACAAAGAACGAAAGAAAGAACAAACAAATGAAAGAATGAGAACAAAAAGAAAATCGAGAATGAATAAAATAGAGAACAAACAAACGAAAGAAAGATAATAAAAGGAGTGAGAGAAAAGAAAATGAAAAAAGAAAGAATTAAAGGAAAGAAAAGAAATAAAAAGAGAACGAACAAAAGAAAAATAAATGAAAAAAGGAAAGAAAGAGAAAGAATAAGCAAAAGAGAAAGTACAAAAAGAGGGAGAGAAAGAGAAAGAAAAAAAACGAGAATGAATAAAATAGAGAACAAACAAACGAAAGAAAGATAATAAAAGGAGAGAAAAGAAAACGAAAAAAGAAAGAATTAAAGGAAAGAAATAAAAACAGAGAGAACGAACGAAAGAAAAACTAATGCAAAAAGGAAAAGAAAAAGAAAGAATAAAGAATGAGCAAAAGAGAAAGTAAAAAAAGAGGGAGAGAAAGAAACAGAAAGAAAGAAAGAAAGAACAAATAAAAGTAGGAAAGAATGGAAGAGAATGAACGAAAGAAAAATAACAAAGAAAGAAAGAAAGAAAGAAAGAAAGAAAGAAAGAAAGAAAGAAAGAAAGAAAGAAAGAAAGAAAGAAAGAAAGAAAGAAAGAAAGAAAGAAAGAAAGAAAGAAAGAAAGAAAGAAAGAAAGAAAGAAAGAAAATAAAAGCAGGAAAGAATGGAAGAGAATGAACGAAAGAAAAAGAACAAAAAGAGGAAAGGAAGTAACAAAAAGCAAGACTGAAAGAAGGAAAGAAAGAAAAAGAATGAAAGCAAGAAAGAGAACAAAAGAAGGAAAAAAGAACAAAACAGAATGGACGAAAGAAAAAACAAGGAAAGGAGGAAAAAGAACAACAGAAAAGAAAAAGAAATGAAAGAACAAGCAAACCTAACAAAAGAAAAGCAATCGAGTGTTTGTTACGTTTTATTTGTCAGTGTATTCTCATCAAAAACAGTGAAAGGTTTTGCCGTTTTCTGCAGTTTAGCATCGCTTCCACCTGAAACACACAATCATCACAAACAATCACATGCATGTGCTTTGATTTCACCATAAAAACAAAGGCTAAACTATTCACTTCATGCAATATTAGTGGCTTCACTCAGATCACTTTTTACTCGGGATGCACGATATTATCGGAACGATATCGGAATCGGCCGATAATGGCTTAAAATGTAAACATCGGTCCGATATGTACAATTATGCCGATATGACAAATAAATCATATGCTCAGGGTGAGTTAGCCATGAGATCAAGTCAGCATTGTGGTTATTCTTGAAGCAAATTTTTGCCTGAATGTTGATTAGATTCACTGTTTTTGATCGCTGCATTTAAACTGAGAATGCATGAACAGAACGACGCGTCTGGTGCGCAATAGATTCAACAGTCACTACTCAGGGTCCTAATGCCTGTCAGGTAAGGAGTTTTAATTCCCTAGGGGGCACTGTTGGCCTATTTGTATTAAAATGAAAGTAAAATACACAAATAACATCAAGATTGTATTTCTGATTAAATAAAGCAGTAACTGATTTCGTGAAATCACAAGTATGTTTTGATTTAAAGGTCAGAAGATATAGCTTACGTGAATAAGAAACTGGGCTTTATGCATTTGCCCACTGTCATATTCATATCATTTTCACAGTGTGTTGTATGTAAAATGAGTGTTATCTTGGCTTTATTTGAAAAAAAAATAAAAAATATTATTCCCAATCCTTTTTAATTATATTTTTATTAAATATTTATTTGTGGAAAATACTTTGTCATCTAATGTATAAGTATGTTTATTTTACAAATGTATTTTTTCATCCATTTTCAAATTATAAA